GCTTTTGTAGTCTTAATACGCGCAGAGTCAATAAACGCTGGGACTTCCGCCGTTATATATACACGTTCTACCATCTCGATTTCTACCCTTCTACGCGAGAGAACGTACTTACTAATGTACTTAGCGAACCGGAAGCCCCGTCGCAAAACAATGAGCGAGGCTGGTACGGTGTACGTACCGCGGCAAGCAAACTCCTCCGCTTAATACGTGGTTTTAATTAGCTCAAGTATCGTAATTAGTAGCAACGTTATGAACTTGTGCGAGTTCGCGTTCACCGTCGTTTGAGAGCTCTATTTATGATACCTCTTCTCAATCTTGATATTCTAATAATTAGAGAGAAAGAAAACAAAAGAAAGAGAGAGAGTGCGAGAGAGAGAGGGAGAGAGAGAGAGAAAGAGAGAAAGAGAGAGATTAATATTGTGCAGGAAATTAGAATAAAATTAATTTCGTTGGAAAGCAATCCGAAATGAAAATTACTTAATTAACTCGTCTCTCTCGATAATGTACTACAAACTGAATTTTCGACTCATTGTGAATTACATGAAATACAATTAAAACATGTCGGCAGTTTCAGTTTCGTTGTGAATAGATTTGCTTTGCATACGTCCGGTTTCGCTTACTTCAGTTAAATGTGAATGTGGTTTAACTAGTTTTTCCGCGTCACACCAGCAGGAGAGAAAAAGATTAATTTTAACTCGCTGTCGGTTGAAAACCGACTTTCTTTGTCTCTTCCCAGAAAACTAAAACTTAAAAGGAAACAAAAAAGTAAAATTGAATTTTAAATGTGATTTAATTCACTTTCTATGTGTCTCTTTCTATTACAAAGTTTTCTAACATAAAAGTTTCTAAACCGGGCGGTTTCCACAATCAAACTGACGTTGATGTATAGCGATCAGAGAAAAAAGAACGGAAAATAAGAGACGGTCTTTAGTAAGAACTGCGCGAAATTTTCAAGTGAGCAATAAAATATGACATTTTCAGACGCTCGATTAATCTTGGACTTGAAGCTTTGAACGATTGAAAGGTTCGCGCAGCAACGTATTATCGCAGCATATTGACGCGCGTTTTAGATCACTCTGTGCGGGATCTTTTTTAAAGAATATCCCTCGGGTTAGTCGACGATCCTCGTCGAAGAGAGAGCCTCTATCGGGTTTTAAGTGGCTTTGCGAGCGAATATATTGTGGATCTCTAATTTATGATGAAGCCGGTATGCGAAAGGAATTTCCACAGTAGCTTACACAAGGACCTTCTACAACGCGTTATCTGGTAACTAGAGAACGGTTAAGATCCTTCGTGTGAATTATATATTTGATTAAAGAATGGAGGAACAGCTCTCCCATAATTTCTGAAAGAATGTCGAAACTCAGATGCTAATTATTTCAAAGTTTTAATTACCGAGATAATATCTCAGTTAGAGATTAAAGAGAGATTATATCTGTAATTACAAAGTGAAATTATTGTCTACGTTATAATGCGCAGTTTTTTTCCAGAGAAATTATATATAGAATTTATTTCATACACAACATTTTGTTAAATAATAATGTATTTGCGATACTTTTTGTTTTTTGATTTCACTACGCTTCGATTTTGATAACTTCAAGTCTGAGATATCGCATCTCTGTCATTCTTCAATATTTACAAGACTAATCTTGTTAGAAAAAAAATTGAAATAATGAACTAATTAAGTTATAAAATAATTAAATATAATAAAAAATAGACTTTTAAGTATAAACATTTGACATAGGTTTTTAAGTATAGACAGATAATAAATGTTTCTAAACTTGATATATATATGCAATGATCGCAACAGATACACAATAGATACACGGAGAAAAGAAATGATTTTCTAAGTTTTTATCTCCGCGAGGCTTTTCAAAACTCTGAGTCAATTGTGGTCTCTCATAGTAACACAACGTATAAAATACTATACACCGACACACGCGCAATATCGTCAGAGAAACGTAACAATAACTTGCAAAGGTGAGTTTCTTCTTTTTTCAGAATTGGGTCATGTGCTAGTTCCACTTTAACAAAACCTTCGTCGGTTTCTTTCATTTCTCTCTTCCTGCTGGATTCCCAAGCATAGATATATATATATATATATATATATATATATATATATATAACCACAATTTTAAATAGTTCCTTAAACATTCACAGACCGTTGTAACATTGACTCGCTATGTTTCTTGCAGTCAAGTATATCTTATTACTGCGTTTGTCGTAAGTATCTTATTGCCGGTCGTCAAAATGGTTAAAGCGTTTGCGTTTCTCTCGGAATTTCAATGCAAAGAGCAAGTTACAAGCGACGTGAAGCGTTTCTTTTTAACCGCAATTGTTTTAGAGAAAAACATATTGCTAAAAATACACAATATATATTTTTCTTCGAGAAATCAAATCAAATATGTATTTAATAACAAAACGTTATTAAATTGAAAAAATTGTATATAAGCACACAAATTTTGTTGCGTTATCTGAGTATATTAAATGTGTATTTATGTGTTGCAAAAATTTACGAAACGATCAACGCACGATGTGCCTCAATCTCGAAGAGCTGCGACTTCAAACACATAAGAGATTACACGAGTTTAATTTTAAAGCCTAGCATGATATACTTGTTCCAAGTTAGATATGAATAGATGGTTATTCCTGTACTGTGTGCAATGTCCCGATTCTCGAGATGCATTTGAAGCAGCATTACAACGGAGTGGTCGCGAATAATGAAGTGTACACGGGCAATGTAGCGTAACGCCGCTCTACTCCTGATAATGCTCTTGCATATGTATTTATAATGAATTTCGGCGATGCTGCACGAGCGTCCTGTGTTTTCAAGTCAGCAAGTGTGTACTTGCATTAACCCACATCGGCTATAAATCATAAAGTTGTCAGGAAAATTTTCGTCACAAGAAACTTACTAACTTCGATATTTTGTCTGACCATATAATTAAGTTTTTCTACTCAACTTACTCTACCAGTATTTTGTTATCTTTTTGCGTCGAATAAAAATGTACGCACAATGTCTTGCCAATTGCTTATGTAATTCTACATATTGTAGCGAAATCTTTGCAATAGATTGTTTTTTTTTTTATGAATTACAAAAATTCTGGATAATATTTTTATGAATTGTTTCTTTAAATGAACACACAATGTTTGCGCGAATTTCAATTGGTTTGATAGGTTCGAAAATTGAAAACCGATGACTAATTTTACGACAGTTGCGGAAGGAAAAATATTTGAAATAAACCGGTTATAAAGTTTTCAAAGATCTTCAAAATAAACTATCTAAATTTATACTTTCCTCTCTCGTTCGGTAATCCATATTCAACTGTTGCTTTTATCAACAATTCAAACCCATTTTTATTTCGTCAGGAACGTCACGCCGTCCAGTTTGTGAAATCCACTTCTTCTCTTTTTATGCGAAATCGACAAGCGTGTATTTTAATATATACAAAACCCGATATATATTTCTCTCTCTCTCTCTCTCTCTCTCTCTCTCTCTCTCTCTCTCTCTTTCTCTCTTTTTTCTCACGCGCCCGTTACGTCGACGTAAAACTCGCGCAAAAATAGAACATATGAGCAGCGCGCGGCCGGTCAAAATCGTTCTGAAAAAAGTTGCGGCCAGAAAGTTCCCATGTGTATATAGGTCGTCAAAAAAATTCCGGGCAACGCCAGAGGGGTCCTCGCGCGTGTCTGCCATTCGTATAGCATTGGCAAAAGTTCGAGAGCCGGTGAGCCGAGAGCACAGCAGCAACAGCTTTGTGCCTCTGTCGCGCGCAGCTTTTCATTAAACGCGCGCGCGCGCGTCGCCTTAGTGCGTCGTTCGCATTTTTGGCGTATTCGAAAAAGCAAAGTTCCCCCGCGCGCACACATAATTCCAATGGACGTGCGCGGTTTTGTCTCCCGGATCGGACGACGTCGCAAAAATCGCACGTTCGAAATATAAATAATTTAATAAGTCATCGCACTTCTCTTTTTTGTTTTTTTTGTTTTTTTGTTTTTCACGAGCGCCCGATGCTTCGGGCGTAAAAACGAACGCACGCGCAAGTCAGCAGTCGGCCGTATATGTTCTTCTATTGTATCAATTACAAAAGCGAATTACTAGAGCGAATTGATAGAGAAGCGCCGGACACGCGCGCGCTCGCTCGCGCCGATGGTGGTCGCGTGCGAAAATTCAATGTGACAACGCTATAGAACGATGTAACGATCGACAAGTTCAACGCGGTTGCTTTACCGCGAGAGACGAGCAAGCGAATGCGAACAACACACGCCTTAGCGCGGACGCTGCCGCTATGCTGACTTTCGTGCTCGTCGAAATGCACGGTTTCACCCGAAAATCCAATACGCTCGATTCTCTGACGGTCCAATACGCCTCAGTAATTTGAACAGAAATCTATATAGAGATCCCATCGTAAGACCGCTTGTTTCGGGCTAGTTTAGCGTGTGCAAATTCGGTTTCAATGACAATCGTTTTACTTGCGATCTTTCTTTCTCTCTCTCTCTCTCTCTCTCTCTCTCTCTGTCTTGGTAATTGGAATGGAAACTATTGTACAAGTACTATGGAATTGTGTTGAGAACTTTAGATTTTAGTCGAGTGTGCCATATTGTGTGTTATAGAAGAATCCAGGAAGTGGAAGTTCCACATAAATTCGAATTGGGCTTTTCTCAAGTAATTTAAAACTTGTCTTACAGTTAAATAGAACTTTAATAAAGTTAACTTGATTTGAGAAATTATTATTAGCAAAAACATTTTTATATACATATAGCGAATGTCACACTCGCACGAAAATCAGTCAGCGTTCACAAATCACATGCAATCGTGAGATTTAAAATCACGAAAATGTTTTAAACTTGCAACAACAAAAATTTTTGTATGATTTAAAAATTACGCGCACAAATACATGTGCAATTATAATATTTTATAAATGTCTTATCAAGCACGCAAATTCGATGCGCATAAACCATTCTGTTAATTTAAGACCGTTTGTTTTTGAACCTCACAGGTCACTGGCAATCAAGGAACGCAATCACTTCAGAAACCCGCTGCTGCGCTGGTCATCAACGTATAAACAGTGCATAGATTGGATCCCTGTGGGCCATTTCTAAGCTCAGGTTGGTTGAAACACTTGTTGAACGCAGCGAACTCCTAATAATCCTCTAACCGATGTGTATGCTTCATATAACGCAAATTATTTTGCTCGATGATGTGAGGATTACACATGTGACGTCATGCAACTTTTTTACGACTGAGTTAGTGCCTCATCAACTGACAATCTCATTGAATTTCACGCACCTATATACATATACATCGCGAAATTATGAAAAAAATGCAAAAAAATTGTTTCACATATTTTTTCTAATTAGACTTAGAAATTTTTTTTTATACATAAACTGTAGGTATAGAAATTCTTTATAAGAAAAGATAATTTTATACATAATTTGGTATTTTAAACTTTTCCTTCTCTTTCCAAAGTTTTTGATTTCTCAAAATCTATTTGTCCTAAGATCTTCAATTTCCAAACTTCTTCATCTTGAGGAAAAAACAAGAGAGAGAGAGAGAGAGAGAGAGAGAGAGAGAGAGAAAAGAGAGAGAGAAAGAAAAAGACAATAAAAATCCTCACTTTGCATTTTGTGATTCGCCCAAACTTTATAATCTACGAAATGCTCCGGATGTACACGCAAAAGCAAGAGCAAAACAGTTGTTGTTACAGCAAACGAGTCGTGAGATTGCAGTCGGTGCAGTAGGCACGTAATGTGGCACGTTGCTTTGCGACTCGTTAAAAGTGCAGCGCAGCGTAGCTAAACTACAGAAGTCAATAAAGAGGTTTGGTTAGTGCAGTTATCGTGCAGAAGAGGAGGCAACAAAATATTTCCCGCGTTAACCCGCGGACGTAGCGACTTTCGGAGGCGAAGTTTGCGAAGTAATATTAGATTACTTGCACGGCAACGTGAGCATTTTCGCGTACGTCATACCGTACATTATCGATGCTTTTACCGCTAACGACGGGCTTTTAGAGAGACCGCCTCTCGTCGGGGATATCATAAGATATCTCCGCGATTCTCCGCGAGAACAACAACGACGACGAATGACACGCGAACGTGTCGACTTCTTCGGTGAAAATGTCGCGTTTTTCCGAAAGCAACGCAGCGCGGTCAAGCGCAACCTTACACGCGCCATTAATATCTCGTAGATATATATTGCATGCATGCGCGTTCTCTGAACTTTCCGAAGGAGAAGTGCGTGTATCGACGGGCAACAGCTGGAACATTAACCTGGATACATGCATGAACATACATACATAAAAGTTTGCTCCCGTTCGCGCCAATCTCAGTCTCCCAACAGCCATTCGATCCGCTTCATACAATAAGATTAAAATTGATTTTGTATTTAAAAAAATTTCTTTTTCCCTTCCAATAAAAATGAGAGTTGTAAAACAGCATCGCTCTCGAAAGCTTCATAATAAAGCTGTTGTATGTAAAAACAATTTCTGTGAAGATCATATAAAGTACTAAAAAAAAAAAAAAAAAAAAATAGTATATTCTTACAACAGAGGCGCGTGTTACAAAATTATAGATTATGTGTTACAAGTACACATAACTGATTTCCTTGAAGTTAAATCCGTTAGAAAAAGTGTTAAAGTGTTAAATAAGCAACGAAGGTAACAAACGCACAGCGACAAGGTAACAAAGATAGACTAATAACGTTTTTTTATTTTTATTTTTACGCTCATTCTATTGATAAAACGATATCAAGTTTTTACGCAAGAACCGCGGAGAATAATTTTTTTATTAAAAAAAGTGTTTTTTTTTTTTTATTAAACTGCGTTTAGCGCATTAATGCCAGAAACAGTTTAAAGAGACTTTCGTCGCTATTAAAACACTTGCAAACTTATAATTTGAAGTTCCATCTTTTCAGACGCAGTCTCTCTTGCGTCGCATTAATCTCTCTAAGTGCATGATTACGCTACTCTCATGTACCGCTAACAAGCAACAAGCGTCATCGTAACGCCTCTGTTACATTTTCTGATATGTGAGCTATGTATATTGTCCCCCGAAGTTTCCAGTGCCAGAGAGTGTACGCGCGACCGGCTAAAGGAGCTATTACTGTATATTGTATATGTGTTGACGACGAAGTGTCTGTCATCTCGCGTTTAATTAATTACACGCGAGAACTTAACGTTCGCGCAGGCGTGTTTGCTTCGGTTGGTGGTGCTTACGTTTACGCGACGCCACTACGTTCGCGCCTCGTTACAAGCTCGAGCCGACTACTCCCGTTGTAATTAGATTTATGGTCATGCTTTGGTACCGCTTAATTCTTCGCACCATAACAGTCGGCGGATGGTTAATAGTTGCGCCGGCTAATGTTGACCGACACGTACAGAGAGAGAGAGAGAGAGAGAGAGAGAGGAAACGTAGCTCGCGAAGAGACCGATTACACGAACGTGTAACTTGCACACAAGTCGCCGTGTAATCGCGCATTAGTTCCTTTCGTGTAATTATAACGCAGCAATTAGTCAGCACGAAAGCGGGCCACGCCGCGTAAGCACCTGGCGCGACTTTGTTTTCTTTCCTCTAAGAAGCTTTGCTCTGTGACCGCTCTGCGGTTGAAAGTTTTATGAGCATAACACATTTTCGCATTTCATTTTTCACAGCACTCACACACGACGTTTTTCTTTCCGAGCGCGAAAGACCGACATCATCCGATTTCAACTTTTCTTTTCGTCTTCAACTTTCAGAAGTTTTGTTTTTGTTTTCTGTTTTTTTTTTTTTTTTTTTTACGCAAAATATGAAGTTTATTATTATACTTTTATACTGTTCAAAACTTTCTGATTTAAATTTTTTTTTTTATCGTAAACATAGATATTACGTTTCTTCAATATAAATTCAAAATATTTTGAATACAAAGGATGTGCGTAAGTATAAATAATGTATAATATGAAATGATTGTTCAATATATCTTTGCTATGTTATATATGATGTAACAATTACTGTGAGAGTGTATATGTCTGTTTGCGAGCATAATTACGCGCTCGGAAAATCAATTTTAGAGACGACAACGAATGATACGCGTAGCAGGGAATATCTAATAACCAACGCCAATGAGACTATTCATTTACCCGTATCGTGTGCCAGAAAATCCACAATAGTATTTGTGTTACCGATTAGCAAATTAGCTTAATGTAATTCCCCGAGTTCTTCGGTTACGCTAATAACGGTATAATCCGATGCGCGGCCGCAAACGCAGTGGCGTTTGCAATTTTGCTATAACTCTGCGGCGATTCGCGTATCATTTCTCTGCTGTAATTGTATATTGGTAGGATGTATATTTGACGTAAATGCGAATAAAATGACTGTACATAAACGCAACAAGTATGCAAGTGAGTCTGATAGAAAGTTCACTATGTTTTTTTGTTTTTGAAAATAGAGATAGAGAAAAACGAAAAGAACTCAAACGCGTACCAAAAACAAAAAAAAAACGAACACAGCAAAGTGTCAGTCAGACACAGTCCCAATCGGACGCGATCTGAAACGGATACGTGGCAGTTCGAATTGAACACGGTTTTAAACTGAAACGATCTGAGACGAACACATGGCAGTCTCGAATCGGATGCAAAAGGAAACGGTCATATAACGGACCCAATCGGACACAGGTTGAAACAGACACACGGACAGAGAGTTTCAATCAGACACATAACAAACAACGAAATATTACTAATTCACGATACATATATATAGCTCTTGTGTGCTCAATGTTTGCTAATGTCGTAATGATACAAATTGGACTGAGTTAGGTTTATTTGGAGAAGGGAAGACGGGCTCTCCACCATTTCCTCCACTTACATGTGTGCATACAATATAAACAAAAAAAACATAAAAAAAGAATTTTGTTTTAATAGTTTTTGTCGAAAAACGACAGGCTGTTTATAAAACTTTTTTTAATAAAAACAACAAGCGACGACAAAGATTTTTTTTGTTATTCAAAAAGAATAACCTTTGTAATATATCTAATTTTCTTCTTGGGTTTCATTGTATCTTGAATATATTAGATCCATCAAATATCCATTGCTAAGTGTGTCCGATAATCGGACTCTCGATTCGGGAATGTGTTCTTTTCGGATCGTGTCCGATTGGAATGTTCAATTAGGCCACGTATCTGTTTTAAATTGTCCGTGAGACGGACTGTCCGATTAATTCTGTGCATCTGAGATTCGCTCGAAAAGCAAAACATTATCAAAATTGTAGAATAAGTAAAAATACACGCTTCGAGTGAATCCGCTTTTTACATCAACAATTAAAAACATTGTTTTAACGGAAGAAGTACTTTTTACTCTGCTATTTCTTTAACCGTTGTCAAGAAAAACGTGGTAAACTTTTTATCAGACTCCTGTATATTAAGTTGCATTTAACGTTTGCGTTCTTTCTCAAATGGAAGAAAAAATAGAGCGAATCGGATTAACGCTGATATCTTGAAAAAGAAAAAAGAAAAAAAATGTACCGTACTACTCGTATCTATATATAATGTCGAGATTGCAAAATATTCAGTTAACTTTTTTACTTGTAACTCCTTTCATCATTTCACATCTCGCGTGACACTTATCCAATCAAACTTTGCTACGTTGCACGTAGGAAATCGCTGTTACGCGATCAGTATTTCAGAGCATTTTTATGAAAATGCTAGCTTTTCATCTTCTTAACCGAAAATTACATGAGCGACGTTTCTATTTTCCGTTGTAAAGTAACATTCGCGCTCTACGAAAGAGATTTACAAAGAAAATTGCAAACGGGGAATATACATATTTTTCTTCGGATTTTCTGCGACTTTTGTTTTTATATTTTCGATTAGTTCGTAGTAAATAAGTGTAAAATTGTTACGAAAATATGTCACGCAAGTGTAAAATCGCAAAGTACTAAAAAGAATAGAGCTTCATTAAAACTGTTTATTTTACGAGAGAAAATATACGTGTATGCGCGGTCATAAAATATGTCTCTCTAAAAATGATACTTTAAGTTCGAAGTTGTCAGCAGAATTTTCAAACGATGTATCCGCATTTGCAACAAGATCAAATTTATTTTATGACCGGTATTCTAAGCGCCGGTACGAATAAAAGCAA